ATTTCCCATCAGATCATTTCATTCTGTGAAAAATTAAAGCAGGGGATTTCTGCCGTGATAGACATGTGGAAATCAACCGACGTCATCCTCTGACCTCAACACTACATCTGAACATGACTGGAACATTTTGCTTGAAAGTGTACGAACACCTATACCCATTTCGACGTGCGTAGTTAGTACCTTGGCTCCTGGTCTTAGGGAAGGGGGGAAAAAAGTACAAATTGCATCGAGGTTTGCTAGATAAATAAACAATTTTTATTGTTTCCAATTTAATACTCGGAGCCAAATTGGAACTTTGTTGTATGATTGGCCTAATGCGAGACAACTTGCATGAATCGTTGCCAAATGTATTGGTGGTAAAAATCATATATTCATCTGACCTTTAAACGCACTGGGGGTCTTATATTTTAAAGTGTCTTTGAAGGGGGACATTCGTAATGGGGAAAGGAAGTATTTGCATCGTAATTGAAAGGGCAATGTTCAGTAAGGTTATGTTACTGGTTATTAAAACAGTCCAATTAATTACAGTGATATTCTGCAATTATTTGTCGTTTTGTTTATTGTAAAAGGAGGACATGCCGTCAAAGGAGTACAGGGTCATTGATAGGTTAAGTTATAGGAAGGGCGTCTGAAAGAAATTGAGTTTTGGTAATCTGTAGATCAGGATTAAGTATTGAGGAAAAAAAAAAAAGTTGATCTAAGCCGATCAAACGATGAACCAGAATTGTGTTGAAGATAGTCTGTCCGAAAACCGTCTGAGAACTTTTGCTGATGTCAAAAAAAGACTAGCTGGAAACCTTGCGTATTCACGGCGATAACGTGCTTGAAGCGAACTTTTTCTTATCAGCGTATTGTAACCAGACAAACAGATACCAGTATATCTTCAAATATTTGTCAGTGCCGGAAACATCCAGAACGCTCAGCAAATGTTGTAGATCGTGGAGGCATGCTTGTACGTGCAGTTTGCCTGGTTTTTGCCACGTTTTGCTCGATCCGAAAAGCAATTTATGCCGGGATCTAAATGAGTTTTGAATGAGCAATCGTAGGTGGAGAGGTGTCTCTACAACAAGCTCAATTTCTGCGTTATTAATAAACCCTGAGGCTGATATACTCCAGACTTTTATTAACTCGCAACGGAAGCTGTTTCCTTGTTGAGGTTTCAGCACAATCTTCACCTAACAATCTTCGGTCAAAAAGTGCCCTCCGCGTGAAACATCGAGAATTCACAGGTTTTTCTCCCTCTTTGTCGCCGTTTGCGCTCAAAGTTTGAAACATTGGACTCGTCTCGCTAAAGTGTTTTTTATCTCGTTGAAAATCTCGCTGCAAAAATGTGGTTTTGACGCACTCTATCACGTAAAATGAATTGCTGTAAACAAGTTTGCGCATTTTTAGAATGTCTCCGTTATCGCTTACTTTATCTCTATTAAAAATCCATCAGAGCTGATGCATTGTCAGGTCTAAATGGAATAGTTCTTTACTCATTTGACAAGAATTTCGACACGTAGCAAGGAATGAATTTCCTAAATTGAAAAATACTTTGTCAGTGAATTAAAAGTCTTTGAATACCTTTTGAAAGACATTCCCCTCGGTCATGATGTAAGCGTCATTTAAGGCTAGTGAAGCGTCCTCAATTTTAAATCTGTGTTCCGAGAAACAGCATTTCGTCACCTTGAAATTTGCAAACAGAGCTTTAATCGAAGTCGAAGTCAACAAAAATGTGCAGGGAAGATTTCATATTTCTAAAGTGATTAACATAATTGTTCTTTAGCACATTGATGCATGGTCAAGCTTGGAAATATTGAAGAGAAAAAATTCAGTCAACTGGTAATGGCAAAGCGATTTAAGCTTAAGATACGCAAACCGTTAAATTCGAGAAACACACAAAATCGAGTGAATCACCGCTAGTAAAAGCAATCAAGATTTTTAGCTGGATCTTCAAGAGTTACAAGATATTTATAGCTATTGGTTGCATGCACTTGGCGAAAATATTTCCCGCAGTATTACACTAAGCAGGATAATCCAAGGAAATTAGTGAAAAGCTGGGTTTGCGAATTACTTGAACGTTCGAACAAAGCCCCTTTTGACCCAACTTTAGCTGTGGGTATGAAGTCTTATTAAAATCTTGGCAAGTGGACTCAGCTTTGCACTAATCCAAAAGAGGTTGACTGAACTAGATAGAGCAGTTGTTTTGAAGAGATTCATAAAAAAAACCTCGCGACGACTGTGTTTCTGTACGCCATTTATATTTTCTGTCCTGGTGTTGTGGCCCACCACATATTGGCAAGAACTGAACCATGGTGATAACCCGCATAAACATTACGCGACGATAGACCAGCGGATAGCACTTGACCTTACACACAATTGCTAGAGGAGGGAATGACATGCTGCAGCGAAAGCAGACTTCAGATAAATGACCTAACAACTGCCTTATCGGTAACACAATACGATGACAGAAACATCATTTAGTTAACAAGTACTTTTATATAACATCGCGGGGTAAAGGCCAGAATTTTCGTTGCTGTGTTGAACAGACTTGTTTTAGAGACCTCCTTGTGCCATAAGGAACGCGAGTTTCGGATTTGTCACATTTATACTGAGCTTTCACGCTTTCACGCTTTCACGGATTAATATGCTTTAAATGCTTGGGCTTAATCACTGAGTTATCACTGCCTCTATAGTTCAGTTTGCAAACAGACGGATAATACTTCACTTATTTCTGATCTTTGCCCCAAAGACTGAGGTTCATTCGTCCCACCACGATGACAAGACGATTGTAAGAATGTTTCTGGAATATACAAAAACATGCAAGCTTTTCGTTCGTATGTTGTTGTAAACAGGCGGACACTGCCCTATAAATAATCGTTTACGTCCTGTCTACTCCTATCGACCATTCCAGCGTTACAAAACTTTCACGACACAGTGTGAATTCAGATCTGTCCATCGATGTACTACGCGCAACTTCAGAGAACAGCGTAATCCAATTCATTCAATGGGGAATATCATGAATATACTTCATGCATTGTAACTAATATTTCTGGACCTCTGTTTATTGTAAGATTCGTGATTTAGATGAACTGATAATTCTACCTTACTGCGAAGTGTCCTGGATGATATTGCAGCGGAAATAACATCACATCATTAACTGAACTACACCCACTTTTTATACTACAGTAACAACAGACTTGATGCAGCCATCATCAACAAGGAAAAATTCCTCAGCGTGCAGTTACGCGCACATTCTTTTCAGTTTTAAAAACAAATGTACTCGACATATTGCATGCTTTCTGTGATAAAATAAAGAATTTTTCCGCAAAGTGTTTTAAAGCATTGTAAGTTACCCTTGCTAGAACTAACTTTCATTCCTTAAATAACTTCCCCACCCACCCGTAAGCTAACAATTCATAAATGAATAATATTTATACACACGGCAGACACGATTTCACAATGAAGCACCGACGAAGACAAAAAAATTCAGACGTCTGAAAAAAAGATCTTTCAAGTAAATTTTTAGCACCATAAATTTCAAAACAGCTTACATAATTTGTCATAGAGAAATTACGCTAAAAACCTGAGAGAAAGGAGTATTGATTTCCCAAGAGGACACGATTACAATGGGAAGCTGCCAACATTTAACGTAAAGCGCTTACGGTGTTTCTAATCCAGAACAGATCTCTGCCATACCTCCATGATGGCAAGGCGTCGTCCAGTGACGTCACAGCTGGCAGGTGGCGGTTCTTTGGACAAAAAGCCGAGATTGGCTGTTTGCTTAAGTTTTGAAATAAGATACTGGTTCTTGAGAGAGCTGTGAAATTTCCATGTTTAATGGACAAAATTATCGCCGATTTCATCTAGCCTCGTGTTAAAGAGACAGGCGACAATACATCTTTTCCCTCGTTCGCACGCTTCTGTGCGATCGAGTTACGTGGAATTATGCCGCAAACTGAGAACTTAGGACGCGTTTGAGCAGAAGCAATTCCATCTGTAAACTCATTTCTCCATTCCTAAAAAACCAATGTTCGCCAGATTAATTGCTCTTTATAAGTTCAGCTCTCCTATAGGGTTTTGCTTGCTAAATTTGATACAGCACTCATTCAGTTCCATTCGGGCACTTAACATATTTGAGCGCGGGGCTCTTCGATAAACCACGACCGCAGATAAGCTTTTCCATAGCATCTTTGCCCTCTCAACAAGCACGTTAAAACGCTGTAGATCTCTGTGGCAAAGATAATACCTGTAAAACACCTGGGTTTCAAGGCACCTTCTTAATAGGCTTATTGTGTTTCAACTGTGATTTCAAGCGTGTTCTTTGGGGGCATTGAAGGATATAAATGACTTTTGAAAGGGTGTAACTTTTAGCGCTAATGTGTGATTCCTTTTGAATAGGTTATTTTGGTTGAATTATTACCACACGGTATACATTTGTTTGTGCGTACAAAACTGACTTTTTGTTTCATGGATATTTCCATTGCGGTTATGTATTTGTTTAGTTCTTTTGTAGTGTTGGCTTGGAAAATCACGTTCAGATCGTCGAACAGTTTGAAATTTCACCTTCAGAGAACTTTTTGCGTGCGTTTTTTCTTTCTTTCATCACTAAGTAATTCTATGTTCGAGCAAGTAACCTCAAAACAAGGACCTTGGCTAAATTACTTGTGTATTACGCGTATCATGTCCCCGATCAAATCTACTCTGTTAACATATCAGCCATGCGAATAACAGTGATATCTGAATGGATTGTTGTTACTTTACAATGCGACTTAGATGCGGGGAAATAATCACGGCTTCGCTTTTCTCTCTCTCTCGTTCAGTTCGAGGTATTATTTCGATTTGTTTGGGTTTTAAATTAGAATTTGATCAGTGGCACCTGTCGGTTGGGTGTCTCCTCCCTGTGCGAACAAAGCAATTTTGTGAATGTTGATTACAAAAATAAAAGCGCGGAATGTTGTAAAATGTCTGCTAATTAATTATCATTAATTGATAACACCCTCTATTGTCAACCCAGGTCCGCAGGGCGCCTGAGGGTGTTAGGCTGTCCATTATCAAACGCACTCTTGTAAACCTCCTAAACGAACTAATGAAATCGCGACCAAGCACAGTTTAGTTCACCATTAACCTTGACCAACAAAGATTGGGAACATAATCCGTTTGGTTTTGCCTCTTGTCTGCGGCGAATCTTGCAGTCTCGAGGCCCATTTAAAGAAAGGTCTATGTAAACTCGATGTATATGTTTTTTGTTATCAAGTTATACTAGTGCGGAAACGACCGCTGTCGACTCCTGTGACAGGCAAACCAAACGGGTCAATTTCTTGGCTTTGTCACTCAGTCGCTTATCAAAAGGAACATCTATTAATATGTCAAGCAGCCAATCACAGTGCGGTATCTAAATTGCGGTCATTAGTTGCTAATTTCAACATAACACAGTTGTTTCACTTTGTACGGCTGGTACGAGGTATATAACACCGTACATACCCTGACAGGGACAGATAGCCACACAATCTGTAGCGAAAACAGCGGCGAAGGAATCCGTCCATCTTGAAGTAGCGAAGACATCGTTAAATATGCAACACTGCGACTGGAATAGGAGTCTCAATGTCTTTCCGCCGTATAACTCTTCGTCGTTTTATATTGATGATATTCTGAGCTCTGGATCACAACGACCTCAAGCTTCCATCTGCACTTCAACAATGTGCGAGGTGCCTAAACCGCCTTGCCTATCACCAGCCTTTCATCTACCTCCACCGCGAACCTACAATAATCTGAGCAGCCCATTCACGCCTTATCATTCCCCGAGGGGCTTCGGTTTCCATGCGCCGAGTATACCCAGTGTTTATGAAGCTTACAACGATCACAGTAAGTACGGCATCGATAACTCTCTAGCTAGTCAGTTGAATAACAAAGTTTGAGTGTAAAATGCTGCGCTAAGGTCACTAGCGTGAAGTGATTTCTTTCGTTCAGTGAGATATCGGAATCGATTACCACTGTTGAGTTCTGGTTCGTTCTGTCGATGAATTTGATTTCACTGTTTCTCGATGGCCGGAGCGCTCAGTAGGATAGTTGGATTAGTGGTTCGTGCTGGCTTTTTGTAATGACCACAGCGCTTTCTTCTGGCTGTGAAGTAAGTGATAAGAGCATAAAGTCATTAACTGAAGTTTTTTTGTTGCTCAGTTCGCCAAGCGCTGTACCATTTGGCAGTTTACTTGAATGCTGTTGTTAGCTTTCATAATACTTGCTCTTTATGACAGCATTGACGCCTTGAACACCACCTGATTAACGTGTACTTCCTGAAAACCGCGTGTGTTCATCCCGAACTCGGAATCTAGAGAAATCAGTATTAGAAAAATTTTGTTTTGAGCTGTATAATGAGATTTTCAGAAGCGAAAATTTGGGAGTAAAACTCAACGGAAGTACTGTTCTAGCATTCGCACCCAACTTAGAACTCAATTTAACCCGCAGAAATTGTTGCATCTGTAATCATTTCCGTCGCTTCTTTACTTTTAGGTGCCTGGAATCTGTTTTTACCCAAGCCGCAGAAGAAGAAAGGTGGCCAGGTTCGGTTCTCTAACGAGCAAACTATGGAGCTGGAGAAGATTTTTGAGAATCAGAAGTATCTGTC